CCCCCACTGCGCCATGTTTGCCGACTGGAACAATAATAATTGAGAGGAAAAACCACTATCAAACAGCAAGCAATAAAGTGACGGACGAACATTAACACATCTCCGCTTTTTGGCGAAATAACTGGCAAGCCACACACGGTGATCTTGTTGGTCTGGCACCCATCTTTTTAGCTTTAGATATAGAGCGTAAGCGATTTACTGAGTTCCGCATATCGCAGTTTTCGAGTTTTTTAAAAGATCCTTCGAAGATTTAGTCGTTTTTGCTATGTAGATCGGTAGAAGGTTGGATCGTGTTTGTGACAAACGTGCATGAGGAGGCGCACGAGGATGATGTCCGTGAACGATTTCTGGAATATGGCGAAGTGAAAAATATGAATTTGAATATTGATCGGAGAACAGGTTTCCTAAAGGTATCTGTGTTTGTTTTTGCCATAATTTTTTGGACCGTTGAGGAAAAACAAGATCCTAAGATTTTGATGCGCGAAGTATTAAAGATTTCGTAGCAGCAATTGCTTCTTTTGAAAAAGTTTGCATGTGTTGGACCTGTGAAGGGCATTAGCTCGAAGTTTTTTTCTAGGGCTATGCGCTGGTAGAGTATGAAACACAGAAGGAAGCTCTGGCTGCGATTGAGGGCTTGAATGGGTCAGAATTGCTGGGCCAAACGATCAGTGTCAGTTGGTGTTTCGTTCGAGGTCATGGTCAGAAGAGAAGACGACGATGATGAATTGTTACAGCAGCTGCACGATGATATGCATGATTTTTTGACAATGCTCCTTGCATGTTCATTTTATCGCAATATACACAAACGTTCGTAAAATTATTGCTAATCTTTTCTCATTTTAAATATCCAAGTTTAACGGGGGTGTAGATGAGAATATGAGATCAAAGATTATCTTAAATACCGGGACAGATGTTGATTCATAGTCTGATTCTCCAGTTATGCAGCTGACAACTTTTCCATTTGCTTTGAGCAATGCTGTATCGCTTGCTGATCGGCCTAGTGGCGATTTCTTGAGCGATTATCAACTCAGTGCACGATTATGGCACACTGAATATTATAATTCATTTTCAACATGTTTCGCGTATATGCCTCATTCATTTTGTATTTTT